TCTTGTGGCATTCGTCAGGGGAATCCTCTTTCTCCTTATCTTTTTGTCCTTTGTATTGAACGTTTGAGTCATTGCATTCTTAGTAGTATTAATAAAAATAAATGGAAACCTATTAGACTAACACCTAATGGGCCCCCTATCTTCCACTTATTTTTTACTGATGATTTGTTGCTTTTTGCAAAATTATCTCTCTCTCAAATGCAAATCATTCTCCAATATCTTTCTGATTTCTGTAATGCATCCGATCAAAAAATCAACACTAGCAAATCCAAACTTTTCTGCTCTAGAAATGTCAATTTTAATAGAGCTTTGCAAATTGGTGAAAATCTTGGAATTTCTCTTACTAGTAATCTTGAAAAATATCTTGGGATTCCTATCATTCACGAGAAGGTTACGAAGCTTACCTTTGTGCCTTTAATTGAAAAGACGAACTCTTACTTGGCAAATTGGAGAAGTCGATATCTCAACATTGTGGGAAAATCTATTCTCATAAAATCTATTCTATCAACTCTTCCTAACTACACCATGTAAACTATGCTCCTACCTGATAATGTGTTAGTAGAATTGGATAAAATCTCCAAAAATTTTCTTAGGACTCTTCTGATGGGAGAAAAAAACCCCAACCTTCTCTCTTAGGATTGCATCACTTATGATAAAAAGGTTGGCGGTCTCGGCATTAAAAATCTCAAAAGCTAAAATATTGCTTTTATCATGAAGTTATGTTTAGGCATTCTCACTAAAACAAATTGTCTTTGGGTGAGGATCTTGCAGGATAAATACAATTATAGCATATCGACTATCCCTATGGTTGTTAAACCTAATTCCTGCTCTAATACCTGGAGTAGCATTTGCAAAATATGGGACATTTTCATGACTTTTATTGGTTGAAAAGTTAGAAAAGGAGACAAAATATCCTTTTGGTATGATAAATGGACCTCTCTCCCTGATTCACTTGTTAAACATGCCTTTCATAATGCTAATTCTATTCTCCATGCACGAGGATCAGATTTCTACAAGCCTAACGGAGGTTGGAATTTAGATCTTATAAAAAGATACTTGCACTCGAATATTATTAATTATATTGCTCTCATTCAACCTCCTAACACTCAAAGCGCAAAGGACATTCTTATTTAGAGACCACCTTCTGATGGTAACTTTTCTATTAAATCTGCCTATATAACAATTGAAAATCGAAAGGCTCAGGAACATAATAATTTATGGTCCAAAATTTGAAAATGACCTACTTATTAAAAGATCAAGTACTTCCTTTGAAAAGCAGCTTGGGATCGTCTTCAAAAAAAACATTATGCCCTCTAATGGAAACACTATACAGCATCGTACTTGTCAACTAGGTTGTAACTCTCCTAACTCTTCTATTCATATCTTAAGAAATTGTAAAGATGCTAAGGAGGTTTGGGAAAAATTAGTTAACCCTTCCAAATGTAATATCTTTTTCTCTTTTCCTTTGTAGGACTGGATTATTTAGAATGCTAATAATGAAGCAGGAAGCATACATATTAGAGGATTGCCTTGGGAGAAATTTTTTGTACAAGCCTGTTAGAACATCTGGAAAACAAGATGCAAGAAAGTTTACTTCAAAGATGATAATTTGGACAAAGACATTGCTTTTTTAAGCACTCAACAAATTATAAATGACCTACAGCTTCAATCCAAGCTTGACCGTCTGAGCAATTTCAATACCAGACATGAAGTAAGTTAGAAGCCTCCGAATCCTAGATGGGTGAGACTTGATGTTGATGGTTCACTCAAGCATAATGGTGCTGCAGCCTGTGGAGGTCTTATCAAGGATGATAAGGGTAACTAAATCAAAGGCTTTGCTAAAAACCTTGGTTACCAACACATTACTGCTGTTGAGCTTATAGGAATTCTAGAAGGACTAAACATCTGCTGGAATGCAAAGATTTCAAAAATCAATGTTTATACTGATTCTATAGAAGCTATATCCCTCATTAATGGTACCTCGATCTAGAATCATCCATTCTTAGGAATCATCAAAAGCATTAGAAATCTTATCATGAGAAGCTGGGAGGTCACTCTAGAACACATCTATAGGGAAGCAAACTGCTATGATGGTCTTCTAGTCTACAAGGCCTCTAGCGAACAGTTTGATATTACTCTGTTTGACAACGCTCCAATAGATTGTAGAAACATTTTATTTTATGATATGACCTAACCTTGATCCTTTTACATGGTATTTTTATCGTGGCTTTGTATTAAAAAAAATTCCTCCACCAATGCCTCGATGTCAAGGTGTGTTACATCCACCAGTGTGGGTCCCACCTTTTAAATTTTTTTAATATATTTTTATTATATAATATTGCTTGTGGCCCCACATTATTTTTTATATTTTTATTCTCTCTTTCCTCTCCCCCTCCCCCCTCTCTCTCTCTGCAACTCACTGTCCTCTTCCCCATCATCTCCTTCTCGTCTCTCTATCTCCCTTTCCCTCTCCTCTCCCTTATTTGCTATGCTTCTCTCAGAACATTTTTAGCCTGTAAATCTGCTTCCCTATTAGCAACTCAGTCAAGCTTCAGAACATGGACCTGCCAATTACGTTATAATAGGCTCTGCATCTCGTGAATAATAGCTTAGTTCTCATGCATATCAATCTCATCTACTTGAATCAATTCAATGCTAATTAATGGCTTCCATAGAATCATAAAAAAGCTTGATGGATCAAAGGTTGTTGTTCCATGCACACTAAAGCCCCATCAAGCACCCCCACAACTCTAGAAGCTTCTAACCTGATAAAATAATCACCCATCTGCATCTGCATCCTCTGTTACTTATGTGGAACTTACTGGTCGAAACTCCGCCGTGCTCATCATCCACAACACCAGAAAACCAGACTACCCTGCCATTAACAGAACCCAAGCTCTCCGACCACTTCATTAACGCCTTCGAAAACTTTAAGCAACACGCAGGTGGTGTGTTTGTCCAACCCTTAATAGCAATCTCTCCTTACTCTACCATGCATGAAGATATTTGCAACCCTGCAGAAGACAAGAGAATGGCTTTCATCATCATCCCTTTTCACAAGCAACAAATCGATGACGGTGGAATGGAAGACACAAACATGGCCTTCCATACCGTTAAACAAAACTTACTTGCCAACTCATCTTGCTCCATCAGAATCCTCGTTGAAAGAGGACTTACTGACTCTAACAGATTAGCTGTCAACCAGATTACCAGATATATTCTTCAGCCAGAACCAGATTACCACATATATTCTTCAGCCAGAATATCACGCAAGTGCATATATTTGTGGTGTGAAGAGGAGTAGGAGGGAGAGTGAGATGAGAAGGAAATGATGACAGAGGACGGATTGTGTGCAGAGAGACGGGTCCGTCTTCGGTGCTCAGCAAGTTGCTGAGCATCGTGGTACTCATCGTAAAAATGAATCGGGGCATTTAAATTAAATTTGGATGATCCAAAATTTTTTAATTTTAATTTTAATTTTAATTTTAATTTATTAAAATAAAAATTTATAATTTTTTTATAAATTGGTCATCATCAATCTGAATAGTATTAATTTAATTTAGGTGATCTAAATTAATATTATAACTTTTTAAATTGATTATTTACATGTATTCTGGACAGTCCATATTCAATATTAAAATGTTTATCTGTAAGGTCCAAATTTAAATTTTTTATTTTTTATTTTGAAGAATACAAAATTAAAAAATAAAATATATAATATTTTAATTATAACTTTTAAAAAATTCTTTTTTAAAAAATTGCAAGTTAAAAATTTTAAATCTAAACTGTACAAAATACATCTAAATAGTCAATATATAAAAATATAAATTTTTTAATATTAAATTAGACACTCTAAATTAAATATGGACTAGATTAGTCAAAAAAATATTTATTAAAACTTTTTTATAATTTTTATTTTTAAAAATATAAATAAAAATATTAAATTATTTCTTTAAATCTGGACCATCCAGATTAAAAATCTGGATGGTTCAGATTGCATCACCCTGATCTCATCAGGGCCAAGATGGTTCCGCGGAGAGACGGAGAGGAGAGAGAAGGAGAGGATAAAACTAATCTTCAACCTTGTTATATATATATATAGAAACTGTTTGAGGACAATTTAACTGTGATTTTTTTTTTCCCTAACAAATACTTAAGACCTTTTGCTCTTCTTTTTTTTTTGAGCAAAAAGACCTTTTGCTTTTAAAGACAAGTTTCTTTATATCTTTTTAATTGCATTTTGACTTCAAGAAATTGAATCCATGATTATTCAGAATATATACCATTCCATTCGGAGAAGGAAGGAAACTCTTGTGATTGGAAAATATAGATTAGATTCACTATACGTGAATTTTTAAAAAAATATATAAAAACTAATTGTTTGGGCTAAAATGTACGAACACTAATTATGAAGTTTTTTTAATTATTTTATTAGGTTCTCAATATAGCTTTAAAGTATTCAGGTTCTATACAGATTGGGCTTCAACCCAAATGGAGCTCAGATCCAAATTATTGTTTTCACTATTTTTTTTTTTTTGTTTTGGTCGATATTGTTGTCACTTTCATGTCTGCCATCTCTTAAGAAAAACGAAAACACATTTGATTTTTTTTTTGTATGTAATGTATTAATTATTTTATTATTAATTAAGACCCGACACATATTTTTCCCATCTTCTAAATATCTTTTCTAATCATAAAAAATAGATGTGAAAGAAAATACATGAAAAAATGTAAACTTAATCCTTTCCATAGTTAACACTTTTTTTAAGTAACATATAATCCCCGAAGTATTGAGAGCAATTGATAGACATTTCCTAATTAAAGAAAATTGGATAAATATCATATTTGATTACATAACATTTTATAATCATTATTCTACGGGGGGAGAGAGATTTTGCCACATGGTGCTACTCATCCCATGCATATAGTTGGGACACAAATGGGATCCGGATCCGATTAACATGCAAGCCTTTGTGTGGGAAAATAAAGCAACAAGAGAATGATCAAAGTGTCATCAATATATAATTTTTCTTTTTATTGGATTTTTATTTTTTTTTACGAACAAAGTTAGTCAAATTGTTAAATACTCCCCCAACAAAAATACACGTCACCATCATCCATCAAAGCGAACGAAACAGAAACATCACATAAATATATACACATACATACGTACACACACTTCACCATCACCAAACTAGGGCTGTTGGGAGCTTCTGGCAGCATTATCGTCGGAGCTTGCAGGGTACCCAATACCATGGCGGTTATTAGGGAACATCATGAACACCACACCAGAAAGCGCTCCGATCGCCGGCGGCAACACCTGCAACAGAACCTTCTGCTGCGTCTCAAACTTGGGGTAGAAACACTGGACGGTGTTGTTGTCCAACAGTCCCAAAACGGCGAACACGAGCAGCGAGAGCAAAGCATGCACGAAGTCCCCAAACCTCAACCTGTACGCCTTCAAGTCGACGTCGACCGACGCCGGAGACGGCCATATCCCCTTGGTCGTGACGATGCCATAGTGGCGGGCACCGTCGCTTCCTGTGTAGCTATCAGTGAAACTGGCGAAGACGCAGTTAAAGGCACAGATGATGAGGAGAGCGCCAGCTAGGTACTTGTTGAGGACGGCGCCGCAGCGGCCGTCGTTGGTGACGACGGGGTTGAGAAATTGGAAAACGAAGACGGTGCCAGTAGGGAGGAGCCTTATGAGGTTGCCGAGTCCGTTGAATGCTTTTCCTGATATGCTATTGTTGCTGCTGCTGCTTGTTGTGGCTGTGTCGTTGCTGCTGCTGTTGTTCTTTGAGATTTTTCCACCCATATTAATCTGAGTTTCTTTACTGCGCAATGATGATTATATATATATATATATATATAAAGCCTACTCGATCGATCTTTTTATTACTGATGAATAATCACAACATCGTGGGTTGTGTGTGTGGATATATACACACGCACACGCACACGCACAAGGGATGAGGAGAGGAAGAGTTGATTTCTTGTACGCAATATGAATACTTGTTTCGTTACATGTGACGGCTTAGGTTTGCTTTTGCTTATGCCTTTGGACATGACGAGATCAGCTTCATTTCTAATTCAAGCTTTCACCACCTTCCTTATATATATATGTATAGACACACACAGACATATTATAATCAGATATGCATATATATAGGGGATGATAGAGTTTATTGACTGTAAATCATATATTCATGAACGTTTGAATTAAACTCATTTTTAATATAATATTCTTTTTCAATTATTAAAAAACATACAATCTAACATTTATTATTAACAAATGTTAATTTTGACAGTTGATTAATGAAAAAAGAACCTTCAATATTACTTAAAAAGACAAAAAATTATAGTAAAAGATCTAAAAATTACAAATAAGGATCCAAAAATTATTAAAAAAGATCAGAAAAATTCTATCTGTCATTTTCTTGTCAATTAATCAAGAATGATTAGATTGTATTGTTTTCAAAAGTTAAAAAAAATATTTCATAAAAAATAAGTTTAAGATCCCAGGTTATACATACCATCTCTTGTGTTTGTATATATGTTAATTTTTATATATATACCTCTGTGTGTGAGTGTAAGAGATGGTATGAAGACGCAAGAATCTGTTTAAACAATTCGTTCCCAACTCATACAAGGTGGATGGATACATGGATATAGATTGTGTACATCTTTTTCTCAATACTTTGATTCGTATATACAATCTCTTTTGTTTATTTAATTGTCTATTTGGTTTGTTGTGTTAAGATAGTTAGACTTTTTCTATTGCTTATGGAACATGTATATTCTCTATTAGGGACAATTATGTTTTGGATATTAAATATGGACACCTATTTTAGTAAAGATTTGAAAGTCGTTGTAATTATTACATTAAATTAAATATATTATTTATTAATTAAAATAAAATGCATGGCATTAAATAAAATGGGCAATCCAATGGGAGAATACTTATGTATAGAGAAACAAAAATAACGTATGGAATGGAAATCTGGATGTTTGACACAAATTAAATAGTATGATTTCATGATCAGTTGCCCACAGAAAGTTGTAATATTTGGATATATATTCCATCCAAAAAATATTTGGATATATATATTTTGATTGAATTTATATTTAATATTCTTTATTTGAATAGTATAAAATATTTCAAATGCAAATACAATAAAAAGAGGAAGATGAAAAATGAAAAGGGGAAGAAACAAGAGGGTTTATTTGACTAATAATGTTTCAAATAATTAGAATATATAGGAAATTTGAAATTAAAAAAATACTTAATTATAATAAAATATGGATTTGAATTTATATTTGGATGATCAAATCCAAATTCATAAATTTTATGAACCTAAATGATGATTGATTTAAATCTAAATTCAAAATCAAATCTAAGGCAGCATATATAATTTATTATCTTTTTTCTGAACCACTTGCTAAATCTAAATTCACATGTTTGTAGCATTCTTTGCTTTATCTTTAAAATAAAAGGAATATAATAGAGAAAATGAAAAATAAATTCCCTCAAATAGGCAAAATGACAATATACTAACGTGAAAACTGAAAAGGGATAATTATTCTGAAATTCATAGAGATTTATCTGTCATTATTTTTTGTGAAATTATGTTTTTGATACTGTACAAAATAATAAAAAACGTAGTTATTGAAACATAAATAAAATTTATTAATAATAAAGATGAAGTTGTTGATATAAAAACATAGTTATTATTGCATGACTAAACTAAATTTATGACTAGTTGTGTTGTTAATATCTAAAAACAGGAGTTGTTAGTCATTAAACTGAAGTTGTTAAGATAGGATACGTGCTTGTTATTGCATATAACTAAAATAACAATTATGCTTTATACATTAACAGTTTTATCTTCGTTAATTCCAATTTAGATATTATAACAACTAAGTTTTTTACTATTTTATTGAAGGTCAAAATATATAATTTAATAAAAAATTATGTCAGATAAATTCTCAGGGATTTTAAAACAATTACCGCATTTGGTGATATACTTATTTATAATTTATTTATTTCAATGAGATTTATTTATTATTCTTGGAAGGCAATGCAAATGAAATTAGAGTGAATAAGAATGGAAGATACAAATGAAACTATATAGAATAAGTAGAGATTTTTTTTTTTTTTTGGGTAGGGAAGTAGAGACTTAGTCCAGTGAAGGAAAGTAAACGATGTTAATTTATAAAATAATAATAATAATAGAAAATCATTGGCAAGTAGGATTAAATTAAATAGAGAGAATTTGTTGGTTATTTATTTTACAATGGCGGCTTGATGAGATTGATTTATATCTGTTTCCAAATTTCAAACATTGGACTATATATTTTCTTTTTAAAAAAATCTATGATCATGTCAATTTTTTTAGCCAAATTAGCGGTCAATATAAGTTTGTGTTCTAAAATGTATTGATAGAGTTTAATTAGCATAAAACATTTCTCAACGTTTTAAAATAAATTTTGGATCAGACTTATTTTTTCTATAATTTTAATATCACGTTCTTCAATTATAAAACATGATATATATATATATATATATATACACATAAGTTGACAAAAAATATTTTACATTTTCCCTTTTTCCCTTATTAAATTAAATAATATATATATATATATATATATCAATGAGTCTTTCATAAATTCCTCCTTCTTTTCAACTAAAAATACATTACTTTTTACCAACTAATCTAATTTTTAGAGAGAGAATTACAACCAAGTTTTAAATAAGAAAATTAATTATTTCTTTAATTTATTTACAAGTCAAACTTTTATTTACATATTAAATTTTAATATTACACACAAGACGAAATATGTAAGTAATTACTAATTAATTAGCTTCTTCGTTTGGGATCTATATGTAATTTTCTCACTTTTATAAACAATGTGCTGTGATTTTAAAAAAAAAAATCAGCATAACCTGATATATACAGTTTGAATTTAATTAATTAGGAAGCTTTTTTTTTTAAAAAAAAGAGCAAATTAAACTGTGTAATACTCTTGCGTGCTTAGGATATGTTGCATTATATATAATTTAATTTAATGTTATGAGCAATTTGAAGTGTACTCACATAGAGCCGTGCAAATAATAAGATATATCCCGAAATGATAATATTGGAAGTCTAATTCATCTTCTAATTCTTAATTAAATATAATTATGATAATCTAAAATAATTAGCATCCAATCAGAAAGTTGAGTGCAAGTATTACCGACATAAGAAATTAAGAATAATAGACCCTATATCACCAGTAAATCGTTAAATGATGTTCATTTGATAGTGATTATATATATAATTTATTAGAAACCATTTGATGACAATTTAACACTGATCTTTTTTTTATTCTCCCAATACTTAAGACTTTTTGCTTTCAAAGACAAGTTTCTTTATATATATTTTTTAATTTCAATTTTCATCAAGAAATTGAATCCACGATTCTTCAAAATATAAAATCATTCCAGTCGGAGAAGGAAGGAAACTCTTGTGATTGGAAATCGGATACTTTAATGTTGTAATAAACAAAATTCGTTTTGGTAGTTAAGAATATTCTTTAGCTTCACCTTTCTTTTCTTTTTCTTTTTTTGGCACTTTTCAATACTTTTTTGGACGGAAATTCGGTATTTGTCTATAATTGATAGATGACTTGTTTTATTTAATTCGTCAACTTAACTAAAATAGCCTTGTCGTATTTTTTTTTTAATTACGTTTTGTCATTTCTTGAAAGAAATTTGAAGCATAAGCCATCATTGCAATAATGAAGAAAAATATTATCAAATTGGCCGGTTAAGATCAAACTAGTGAATACTGGATATAATTTCAGTCAAGCCAAATTCAAATTTTATAAAAGTAATCTCTGTCAAAATATAATGAATGAAAAATTAAATGAAATCGGTTGATTTGCACTAAATTGGTAAAAAGTATGCTTTTTATTTTCTTCTCAATCTAAACTGGAGGAATAACAGAGTTTATGTTTATCAAACTTTGATCAACTTATTTTATTATATAAAAATACTTAAATTTTTTATATTTTTTAATTTTAATCTTACTTATATATACAGTTAAAAAGAATTTCATAATTTCACTATAATCAAACTATATATTAAATCACAACTAATTATTATTCCATCCATTAAAAAATGTAAGACATTTTTAACCAAATATCACCCCCTAATAAAGTAGTCCTATTTCCTAACTAACTCTATCTTTTCATACTTATCCCTATTAAACACCCTACAATAAATATTAAAGTCATTATCAATAAGGGTACTTTTAAAAAAAAAACAATGATTACACCTCTAAAGACTGAAAATATTTTACATTTTTTAAATATCCAACTCCTCAAAAAATGCCTTACATTTTTTAACGGAGGGGGGAATATCTTTTTTTATACATCCAAAAAGAACTAATTATTATCTTAATTCAGTTTTTTAAAAACTGCATTCATGTAATATAGCAATAAGAAATAGGAAAAAAATTGAAAGAGTTCTGCATGTAGAAACAAGTGGACAGCAATATGAAATGTAAACTATATCATGATGAATAATGCCACTCATGTAGTTATAGCAAGCAACGTACGTGGGGATTGTTTTTAGCTGGTCAAAATTCATTTGCCAAAAGTGAATTTATTAAAAAGTTTTTTTGAAAAGATCATTTATATTTAAATATTTTTTCAAAAATTAAATTAAATAAGCTAAAACTTACTCCTCTACTAAAAAATGTAAGGATTTTTTAAGAAGTTGGATATTCAAAAATGTAAGGCATTTTAGTCTTTTGAGGTATAATTATTACTTTTTTTTCAAAAGTGTCCCATTAATAATG